TGAACAGGGTTATTACATTCCTGCCGGCCCATTTTCTAGTTCCACCGCAGAAATATTTAAGATTTTAACCCTCGTTCATAAGCAGCGACAATATCGGGAGCAGTTTCAAGTAGTTCTCGTTTACTAAACCATCTGTCCTCAGATGGTGCTCGAGTTTTAAAACGTACCTTGGACTGCTTCTGAGGTCGTCCACGTCATATCCGCCATCCCTGTCTGGTGGAATCATAGAGCGTTTGTGTGGAAACTCATTTCCTTCTATGTAAGGCAACAATTTGGACTCATGAAAGATAGGATATGTTTTGAGATGAGGGAGAATATCAACTCGATAAGACGGTCCCTCTGCATCTCCTGTTACTTTGAGAACTTCCCAGGGTCCAAAATAAACAGGTAGCAATTTCTGGGACACATCTTCCTATAATGAAAACTCTTTAGATTTTACCCAAACCAGATCACCCTCTTTGAATGTAGACGGTTGACGGTGCTTACTGGCTTGTTCAATCATATGTAGTTGAGTTTTCCTTAGATTATCTTTAACTTTCTGGATGTCCTCGTGGAACAATATTGCGTATTCTCGAGTCCTTGGGGGCAACCTAAGGAACTGGTCCCGATTTAGTACATCAATGGGACGTTTAGGCTTCCACCCATTGTGAAGTGCATTCGGGGTTCGTCTAGTAGAAGTGTGGACGCTATTGTTATATGCACTCGCAATTTTGGGTAAGTTCTCGTCCCAATCAATCTGATCGGGTCTAATATACATACGCAAAAGTTGCTGGCTCAGACAGTTCATCTGTTCAGTCTGGCCATTCGTTTCGGATGCCTCCCTGACGACGTGGTCAGCCGTGTGCCATAAGCTTCCATCAACTTTTGCCATGGCAGACTGGTGAACTTGACATCTTGATCAGACACAATGGTTTTAGGGAACCCATACTCAGTGACCCATCACATCTGAAATTTATGAATGACAAGTTCAGTACGCGCTTCTGCTGGTAAGGGAACAAACATAGCGTATTTAGAGAAACGATCCACAATTACCATCACTTGACTATTACCATTGCGACTTTTAATGACTTATAAAGTCAATTGAGATAGACTCACGTGGTTCGCTTGGTATAGGTAATGGCTTGAGACAAGGGGGTTCTCATGCGACGGCTTGTTTCTCTGACACACTAGACATGTACGAACATATGTTAGTACATCTTTTTTAAGTCCCTTCCATTTGAAACGTTCTCTAACTTCAGCATATGTTTTCTTGAAACCAAACTGACCCTCAAAATCGTGACATTCCCCAATCAATACACTCTTAATCTCTTCCTTATGAGGAATATAAATCTTTGTTCGGTGTGGTCAATCAAGAACAACAATCCATCAACCAGTTTATAGTGGGGTAGTTGGGATGGATCTCGCGCAAGGATATCCATGATTGGTTTCAAGATAGGATTAGTAGCATATCCTTGGCGAATCTGGTCTTTCATGTCATTCCCAACATCCAAGTAAGAGAATTGCACCAAAGAAATCACTCCGTCTGGATAATGCATCTACAACCACATTAGACTTACCTTTGATCGTTTTTAATTCAAAATCGAAGGTATGAATAAACGCAGACCATCGTACCAGTTTGTCAGAGAGCCTAGGCCGTGTCTTTATCCACTTTAGAGTAGAGTGGTCTGAGTATACAGTAAAGTGCCTCCCTAATAAGTATTGCTTCCACGTGTTTAGTGCATAGACTAAGGCATACAACTCCCTTTCATAGGTGGAGTTGGCAACCTTTTCCGACGGCAGTCGGACAGACATAAACTCTATGGGCCTGTAGCTCTTGCCGTCATCCTGCTGGAGAACAACGCCAATCCCATACTGACTTGCATCAGTAGTGACAATGAAAAGCAAAGATGGATCAACAATTTTTAGAATAGGGTAGTGAGTCAATGCATCCTTCAGTCTCCGGAAGGAAGACTCACAATTCTTATCCCACAACCAGATAGTTTCTTTCTTTAACAATCTTCGCATGGGTGCTGCAATCAGTGAGAAATTCCTGACGAACTTCCTGTAATAACTAGCTAACCCAAGGAAAGATCGCAATTCCGTAATAGACTTAGGTTGTGGCCAATCTCTAATTGCTGAAATTTTTCTCTCTTCTGTTGCAATCACTATATGTCCTAGGTATAACACTTCAGACTTAGCAAACTCAGACTTCTTGGTATTGATCTTGAAGCTGCCCTCTCACAACTTTTCTAGCATCAGACGAGGGTGCTTCTCATGATCTTCTAGTATTTTGCTATACACTAGAATATCATCGAGATAGAGAATGACAAACTTATCCAGCCATTGACGAAACAGGTCATTCATTGACCTCTGAAAAGTGGCAGGGGCATTCGTTAATCCGAAGGGCATACCACGACCTGGTTCGGAAAGCGGTCTTATGGTGATCGGAGGGTTTCACCTCGATTTGGTGATAACCAGATTTCAAGTCGATCTTGCTAAAGTACCTGCAACCCTGTAACTGGTCAAGTAAGTCGTCAATGCGAGGAAGTGGTTCAACATTCTTAACAGTGACGACATTCAACCCTCTGTAGTCTACACAGAGATGTAACTCACCTTCCTTCTTAGGTACAAACAAAACAGGAGCACCATAAGGAGAGGAGCTAGGGCGAATCCATCCTTTTTCTGTTAAGTTTTGCAATTGTTTCCTCAACTCCTCCAGTGCCCTAGCAGACATTCGGTAGATAGGGCCCTTGGGAATCCTACTTCCAGGAATAATTTCAATGGTGTGCTTAATTGCACGCTCAGTTATTCCTGTGGGTTCAATGAATAATTCTTTATATTCGTTTAGGAGTTTTTCAATCGAAGGAGGGTAGGAAGTAGAACATTCACCTGCTTTCTTAACCAAGACCATCATTACTTCCTGCTCCAACTTTTTCTTTGAAACCATTGATCGAAATGTCGGGTAACTCATGCAACAAAAAGACAAACTAGAGTCAGAGCCAGACTTATGATATAATTTAATTGGTTTCATTTCAGATTGTGCATCCTTAAGTTGCACAATCTTTTCTTTGAACTTAATGTCTGGGTTGGCTTCCTCGTGCCAATCCATTCCCAGAATCAAGTCAAATGGCAAGTTCTTTTCTACAAGGAAGGATACCTCGTGAAGAATTATCTTCCCTTCCTTGGTTCGAAATCGACACTTCACACGATCAACATATTGCGAGACAGTGATCGTGCTTTTGTCAGCCATTTGTCTAATTTCTTGAATTTTCTGTTCTTGCTGTTCACTCTTTTTCTTTCTCAATTCTTCTTTCCTCTTCTTCTCCCTCACTAATGCTTCTTCAAGTTGTCTGAGATACAATTATTTCTAGTCCTAACTATTGTTGTTCTTTCACTTGTCTGTGTGATGACGTCCTAATCATGAGTGTAACGGTACCACGTCAGGCCCGTGTGATCAGATACACACACAAGTAAGTACGCACAACACCACAACACAACAAACGACAAGGTAAGTATGCCAACAATCAATCAACAAACAATTTGTCAGCACCCTTCTTCATTCTGTTGAGTCAATCTAGGTGTCAATGCGATGTTGCACCACTTGTGACAGCTGGCACTACAACTGTCTAATACTTCAATCAGCCGTACCACCGTCGTCTTCGGAGTGCTGCTCTTACTTGGCAGCCACCTG